TTTTTTTTTGGCGTGTTCACTGAGAGACCTCGACTCGGTATATCGGTCCATAAACACGGAAAAAAGAACGAGGCCAATATCCAGCCATCTTGACAGAACAAGCTGGGTCAATAAAGGATTTATTATATAGAAAAACAACACTATTTTCTTACAAGTCCTGCAGTGGCATGGGTAATCCCGAGCGGGAAGATAACGTCATCTTTCCCGGGGCAAAAACACTAGCCATTTCACATTACACGGGAAAAAAAATAAGGCCATTCATAAATCACGAAAAATGACCACTTTCGTCGCTACCGGAAAGCAGCTTCAAATTAAAAATACGAAATGAATCTATTAATTGTACAGTTAAAACTGCAAATGCATAACTTGTGGATTATTTTATTTTCAGGTGAAACAGGCACTCTTGAAAGTGAGATTGCCGCTCAGATCACCGCGAAAAAGGCCTGGAAGCTAATTCTTCCTGGTGGCCCTCAGCTAGGCCCAGAAGCAATCAAAACTGGAATTGATGTCGAGGTCACCGCGAGCTTTTCCAAAGTGTCGATAATTACCATGTTGGCGCCTTCTCCTGATTGGTTCATTGGAATTGACAGTCGTGACATGTGTGACAACGGCAAATGGCGGGAAAGTATGAATGTCACCATGTTAGCCCCATATGATGCCGGGACGGAGAACGGAACAGCATTTTCGACCAACAATACAGCCACTAACCCGCCTGATAAAATTTCCAAAATCACAAACAACACGGCTGGTGCTTTTAATGGCCCAAATCCCATCCCAAGCTTGGGAGAGTTTAGGTTTGTGAAGACAGATGGACCAGCGGAACCAACCGAAAGCTCAGTCGGCAAAGCATCTTTTAATTTTGCAGTGTTCACAAGCGCTGCTATCATACTAGCGTTGTTGTTTTGAATAACATGAGAACAATCTTGTGGACACAGTGACGTGTAGACGTTTTGAACACATGGTAGCATGTTTTACACTTTTTGAGTGGCACTTTGGGGAGTAGAAGGGTAGCATTTCTCTGCCTCTCAAGGGAACAGTTAGACACATAAGATTTGTAAGTCTCGCTGCGGATTTCCTTTTGTAATTTAGTCTTAGAGCCTAGAGACTATTTGGTCCGCGCATAGCAAGCCGGAAGTAGGTATAGATAATTCTTGGTGTGCGATTAACGATAAAGAGTCGACGAGCTTCCTCGCTCCTTTCACGTGAACGTAGGAGTCTCGCCTCGCCCCTCCCCCTGTAAAAAAAGGTTTCTGTTATATGGATACCAAGGTTGCGTTTTATTAGTACTTTACTTAGGTCAGTAACCGTATGCAATTATGACATGTAAGAATAACACTACAGGTGACACATTATGTGATACGCTAGAAAATTCCCTCAAGATTACATCAGTGAACCTTAAGCGCGGGTGCATTTTGAAAGAATTTTAAAATATTACTCGAGTAGTACAAATGCTTAATTGCTGATGCTTTCATACGATTACTCAGTTATTATGTGACTAAGAAAAACACAAACTCATCTGCATCAACATAATTCGCCGGGTGCAGTGCAAAATAAAAGTGAACGATTAAACTGGTCTCATGAAGTAATTTTCTCAGTCATATAAAAAGAACAAATATTAAATGCATGCCAGATTATTTTAAGCGTTTCAGAAACCTCTTTTGGCTGTTCATGTAAGATTCATGTAGAAGCAATTAGCGTTGTCAGTCGGTTATATTTAAGTTCCGCGGAACAAAGAAATTTTGTTAATTTTTCATATTTGCCCGCGGCGGTTAATGGGACAGCCCTTTTGGCGGCCACGGACAATATACTACGTTTGGCACGGACGATAAATTTATATAACCAACCATACACTATTCAGTTTGATAGTCTATCGCTTTAGTTAGCAAACATCACGGTTACAACCAGCTAGTGTTTTCAATCTATTTCTAATTAACGCGACGCTTAGGGAGAGCATTCCATGTAAGGATATAATTTTCGTGTATAAATAAAAATTGTGTGTGTGTATACGGACTACTCAACTAGTATTAAAAATTAGAATTCGAGTGCTTTTTATAAATCCATCGGAAATTGCGGTTTTGTTACGTCACCGTATCGGGCAGTATTGATGTCAATGCATAAATATTGCCGTTGTAATTGGTTGCTAGGCAAGAGTCCATTTGTTTTGTCACTAAGCCGCAGCTGAAGGCATCCAAGTTCTTCTTTTGCNAAACACCTTTAAGTCTCAGTCTCACAATTGAAGAAATAAAAATGTCTCAGGCTCGCAAAGAAAAATGCTAGTTTCACATTCTCACAAAGTCTTGCATTTATCACCCACCACCCCCTTGTGAGGAGGTGTGGTGGCCTCATGTTTAGTTTGCTGGACTCCATATCAAGCAGTCTGGGTTTGAGCCCTGGCTGGGGACATTGTGTTGTGTTCTTGGGCAAGACACTTCACTCTCACAATGCCTCTCTCCACTCAGGTGTACAAATAAATGGGTACCAGCGAACTTAATGCTGGTGGTAACCCTGCGATAGACAAACCTCCCATCCAGGGGGGAGTAGAGATATTCCTAGTCACTCCATACTAGAGACATTGGGATAACCTCTGGCTTGATGGGCCCCTTTGCTTATATGTTGACGTTACCTACCCCTAGCATTCCCTGTGCCCTTCCTTTTTCTCTCTTCCCAGCCTCTGAACTGCCAGCCGACACAGTCAAGGCAGTACAAAAGAGATCTCTGCAGAGGAGAGAGACACTGAACCATAGCTTTGCACCTTGCAAAATGACAAAACTGGTGATGATAATACTCACCCTTGGGCCATCTGTTTTACTGCAGGAAACTCAATTCTATTTATTTGTCAAGTGGAAACAAACAGCACACTATGATAGACTTAGTTTAATAGAATAATCATCTTTAATTTGCAGAACGGTTACAAAGAAAAAGAGTAGGGACATTAGAGAATGTTATTTCTGACTTGAAAAGGTTCAGAGACATGGATAATAAAGAATCTGTAGATCCTGAGAACAAAACGACCACTAAACCAGTGGAAGTTGATGCTGCAACAAAAGAGGAATCAACAGCACTATAAAATGACCAGAGAACTAGCAGTTAAAACAATGTAAATGATTAATAATTACACTGCCATGGGGCCGGGTTGTTGAAAGCCTGAGTAAACTAACCCAGGATCAGCAAGAATTTTTGATTTCAGTTTTGCAACTTTTCGGTTTATATTGTTTGTCCTTCAGTTTTGAGTTTGAATAATCTCAAACAACACAAAACGCAGTGAAACATATTTTTATACAAGAAATATTAATACTTTGGTCAACTTTTAATCCTGGGTTAGCATTAACCGGCTTTTGAATAGCCTGGCCCTGTTTGATAATTGAGCGAGAAGTGAAAAAAGTACATAAAACTAGGACTGAGGTGTGCTGGAAAGTGTTCTCTCCTTGAATTTTTTCACGTCTTTTTATCATCTTAAAGTAGTGGTAAGTAAATCTTATTGTAAGTTCATCAGTTGCAGCCTGAGTGGGAAAGCCAAGATGTTTGGCGTAAGTGTTCTATAATTATTTGAACAAGGCAGAGACAAATTGGCAACCACTCACAAAATACTTGGTTGAGTAGTTATGTGTCATTATTTTAAGTATTGCATTATCATAAGTTTTTAGTAGACTCTCTAAGGTATTGCAGTCCAAGTCCAAAAACCTTAATGTTCGGTATATTTAAGGAGGCTGACAACAGTTTCCAGCACTTTTCTAACAGCTATACTTTGAAGGATGAATACTATCACTGTTTAACAAGTGATGCTACAATAATGGTACCATACAAATTCCCAGTAATGCTTTTTATATAACAGATTAAATTTTTGAAAATTTATGGTGGCTCTGAAGTCTCTTCACAGAATTATTTTAAAACTTGCAAAAAGTTGCATCTTATCATGCTGATTACAATTCGATAATAAAAAAATGGGGGTCACCAAGCTCGTTTTTGAGTTATAAGCACCTAATTAAAGCTAAAACTTAGGGTACTTTTAGCAGGTCATATTGTTACCATGGTAACCTATTGTGCCACAAAGTTGACAGCAACATGTTCACCACTAATTGGGCAGTTTTTTGATACCATGATTTTGGCATCAACCGATATAGAGTGGTTATAATGACCCCTCAAAGTCTGTGCCTTGGAAAGTGCTGGAAATTGTTTCAAGCCAAAATCAAGAATAATTTTGCCTGTCACAAGCAACATGTGCACACTCTTGTTTTATCACTGATTGGCATAAATCTACTAGCGTTCTATCATGAATGCTGTTCTCTGATTGGCTACGCTACTATCTATTCTGTTGTAGATAGTGAGTAGCATAGCAGTGTGCAGTTGTGAACAAAATGATGGCTGCTTCTTTGCATTAATTTTTTAAGGTGTCTGTGAAGAGGATTTAGATAAAGTTTCGAACAACTAGAAGATTTATACTAAGACAATTAGATTATTCGCTCTGGATTTCTATGCGTGATAGTTGACTCAGGCTTGCAGTGCCCTCAGCAACTATCACACAATAGAAATCTCAATTCCAAGATCTAATTGTTTAATATAAAATGAAGAGAAGTGAAATTATTTCTTGTGCTAGGCCCCTGGCCAGCTCCTTCTCCCATTGAATTGTCTCTCTTGTGGCTTCTTGACTCATACTGCAACACGTGAGAGCCTGTGAGGGTCACAGGCTAGAATTTTTTTTAAGCATTTTTGTTCATTTAGATTTGCACTGATTTGATAAAGTGTTAACATTGTTAAAATTTGTTATACCAGTAATCCATGATAAGATGTAAACAGGTAGTAACAATTATGTTCCAGAACAAACTATGTAATAGGTATAATTATTATTCTAATTAGTAATTTATAGTAATTGGACCAAGTGGAGTCCAATTTAGGGAGTAATCTCGCTTGTAATTTCAAAATCGGTTGACCGCAAAGCGCAAGGCCAATTAGAAATTACCAGCATGGTTACTCCCCGAATTGCACAAGAGTTTTGTTATAGATACGATTAGTACAGATAATTGTATGGATGCGAGTGCGATTAAGGATTTACACTGCGAGTGTTATTTGAAAATTCTCTCAAAATTGCACAAGCCTTTGGGAGAATGCAATTTGAAAGAATTTCCAAATATCACAAGTAGTGTAAATCCTTAATTGCTCAAGCTTTCATATGATTACTCGTTTATTTTATAACTCACTGAGAAAATTGCAAACATGTGAAAGTTAATTTGCACTGGAGTGGAAATTAAGAATTAACCATAAATTGGTCTGTTCTCATCCAGTCACAATGAAGTAATTTTCTCAGTCATATGATTACAGAATTTCAAATTCTAAAATACTGTATGTAAATTCCAGAACTTGAAATTAGTTAGCATATAATGCAATTAGCAGTTCCTAATGTATCTGGATCTATCTGTGTTGGCTTTTGTTTACGAATAAGAGTCTCCAATTCTGAGAACTTTAATATTATGAGCTGCAATAAAATTGCCAGTGTATGGAGACCAAATTGGAACAACAAATAGTCAATACAGTATTTCACTTGTTTATTATTAAAATATTCTCAAGGCAATGATATACACTTACTGAAGTCTTCCAAATTTGGTTTTACAAGTTATACATCGTTAACTAATCAAGCTATCAAAATTCCCTGACTGTCTTTGTGCCAGACTGACTTGATGGGTATTTGTAACATGCACTTTGTCAAGAGTGTTACAAACAGTTATCAATAATATATTACTCAATTTAAACTTGACATTACCGTTGCATTAAATAAATAATTTGTTTCATTTATAACTCAAATCAACTATGGTACTTTTTTTAAGTTGCCAAAACTGTACTTGAAGCACTAAGTCTTAAAAAATAAGTTTAAAAAAAGAGATGAAAATTGATTGGCACAGCTATTTTTGTGGCTCAGTCAACCTAAACCTTACAAAATTGAACAATTTCTACAAAAAAATTACCTGTCAAATTAACCTCCCACTTCCCTAGCATGCACAGTCAAACCTCAACTAACGGATACTAGCCACATACAAAACTACGCTTTAATCCTTTCATAAGTGGACACCTCACCCAAGCATACACTTATTCTAGTCAGTCCTAAGTGTGTAGCCTGTTTATGGAGCTTTGATTATATATTGTCAAAGCTGCAACATCAGCTCTAAATTCTTTTAACTTCTTCCCAGGGCTACATTTCCTATCATTTTTTGAAGAGAACTTTGTTTTTCATCAAGATTATCTTCTGAACTGATCAGGATTGCATTTCTCATGCTATGCCCCCTTGAATTTGTTATAAGAAGTAAGAAGTAGTTAGAACTGATCACTTCTAAGGCACCATAAAGTTCCAAATCTGGGAGATAAAAGTGAACAGTTTACTAAATGATAGATCTTTTGCAGTTAATTGTGAAATTGAGCAAAATCCAACATGCCACATGACAAACGAATACAACATATCCTAAAACAAAGTGAATTGAACCAATGTTTAATAGACCATTTTCATATTCTCGGTACTGGACTGGAGTCAGCTTGCAAAGGAGGCTCGTGCGGGGGAATATGATTAACATGAGATTAATACCATTTGCATCTGTAAAGACTCCCCGCATTAGCCTCGGTTGCAAGTTAGTTCCAGTCCAATACCGCAAATAAGAAAATGGTCTACTGGAGGACCAAATCAGCAAGGAACAAGAGTTGACAAACATTGACCACAAAACTGGTCTTCAACTTCCACTGACCATATTCAGTTACTCTCATCCTTGATTGATCTACAGTAAAAGGAACAACGCCCCTCACCCATCCTGACTACTTAAACTAATACCATACTAGTAAAAGAAAACACGTACAGATATATATATTTCAGAGCTCCAGCAACACCTCCGTAATATATCAATCACCACATTAACGATATCAATGGGGAACCAAAATTGCTCCAAGTATTTGAAAATATAATCCTAATTTCAGTCTGACAAATCTGTTGAACTTCAAGGTCTTGACTTATCTGGGAAAGCACCAGTTGTATAGTTTACCTTTTAATTTGGTTTCCATGGTAACCATTGCAAAAGCAACATATGTTAGCTTAGGAACATTCTACCAAATAACATTTGAAATGTAATTTTGCAGAAACAAGGGATGCAAGTAGAAAGATTTAATGCTTGAAAATATAAATTTTTCGTCCTGTTATTAATTTTCATCTCTCTATGATATTCTATGTGCACATTGTGAATTTGACATGTCCATTTGCACCAACTCTGAATGTTGACACTAACAAATGGAAGTGAAGTTATTAATTAAAAATGCATGTGACAACTTTCCATCAACTGGTTGTATTGGCAAGTCTAACATTAATTTACAAGGATAACATTACTTTATTACCATTCAGGTCAGATGGGATATCAATATAAAATAACAAAGGAAATTCTTACAAATGCATCAAACTGTAGTCTAACTGATCTTCACAATATATTATATCCTACTGATTAGGAAAAACTGAAACTGCAATTGCGTTTGATACACATTAACACACTATGCATGTATGGAACTATAGACTGAAGTGGTTTCCTCTTTGACTTCATCCGTGAGTCGCATTTAAAAATCACAGTGGTCAATCTAAAAGGTCAATTCCATCACAGGGTACTCCCCCCAGTCTGTGTCCTCAGGCTGCTGTTAGCAATTTGTTACAACCTTGTGTACCCCTTCACAAAGTCATACCCTGGAGTAAAAGTAACTGCCTGTCAAGACCTTTCAATCCAGAGGCTGGTACAGTAGACCATTGGGTCATTACATCACCTCAATTAACAACAACTAATGAGCAAGTCCTTACATGTAGCTATTTTGTCTTGAAATAATAAACAGCCACACATGTTAATTATACTCTGCTTAAAACATATCGCTGAAAACAAACCCATAAAAATCCTTGCAAATTCCAAATTGCAAACAAAATTTACCTGCTTAGTTTTCTTTCAGCTGTGTTTCACTGTTCTAATGGAGGACTAAATCACTTGTAAAACCCTTGAAAACAAGAAAAACATGTTACAAAGATTGTCAATAGGCATAAGTAGTTTTACAATCTGGCTCTCCTTTGTAAATAATTTTTACAGAAAGAGTAGTAGTACAAACACAAACTGAAATCAGAAGACCACTTCAGTGGTTTCCCTGGGCTCTAAAACAAGTCAAACTGGGCTAAGTGTTACATCTAATTTGATGGTTTGAAAGTAAAGAACTAGCAATACAATATTTTTCCACTGTAGTATTTTTCAGCCATGGAAAAATGCAAGCTTGCAAGAGTTGAAATGTGCAAATTAAACCATTGGAAAAGGGATTTATTCATGACAACTGCTTTATTTCCTTGTATTTAKGGACCTTTTTTGCCTACATGCATTTCTTTACCAATTCAATCATTCTTCATTTGGTAGAGTTTCCATCCTGTATGCATACATGCACAATTTGCATTTGCTCTGTTCTAAAAAATTAGTTAATTAATGTTCAAACCAGTGTGATATAATGTACAGGGCCAACCCACACACGACCGCTCTCATGTGCCTTTGATAGCTCAGTTGGGAGAGCATTGCACCGGTATTGCAAAGGTTGTGGCTTTGAATCCCGTTCAAAGACTGAAAATTTTTTCAGGTCTTTTTTGCAGAAGTGTTAGGCTGCATTTGCATCTATCATCATGTCTACAAATAAATAATGTATAATGCTTGTGCAGGGGTTTCATTGAGAGCTGGGCGCTGGGCCAACTGACCAGCTGTGAGGCCAATTTTGCCTGCCTGGTTTAACCATGTGAAGGAATGTTTTTCTTATAACATGAATCAGCTCAAAAAGTTTTACCTGTCTGTGAAAACTAATTGCCTTCCTGTTAAAAATGTTAATGAGACCCAAAGTTGTGTAGTATTCTATTTAATCTTAATGCTAAGTACACAAGCTACAAATGCCTACATAAGAAACAAACCTGGATATTTTGATTGATCTCTTTACCACTGTCTAAAAAGGGATCCTTAGAGGCGAGTGGATCAAACACATGATCAGAAAACAGATTTGTACCATTAATACCACTAGAGAATGGGTTTTTACTGAATGCTGCACTGCCACCCAGCTGTAACAGATCTGATGCAAAGAAAGAAAGGACATGCTAGTTAAGTTATGCCACTTTGCAGTTTTGGTTGAAGCTTCAAAACGTTTTGCAGAAAGTCTGTTGGAAGATCATTGGGGCTCTGAAACAGGTTCACTTAAGAGATACAAACTACATTCTGTACATCACAGGACTTCTGCTGCATTTTCAGTCAAATTAGTAGTCAGAGAAATTGTGTCTTAATTTTCAAAGTCATGCCCCTCTATACACAATTTTAACACTTACTTGATAACATGTACCTCCAAATGAACTATTTTCTTACCATCAGAAGGGGCTGTTGGAGAGGTTGTTGTTGGTGGTGGTGATGGTGTTGTTGGTGGTGATGTCATTCCTGTAACATTTCCAGAGTTACTTTTCATGCGATTGGCTGCTTTTACGCTTTCTTTTGTTGGTGGAGGAGGGAGTAGTCCCAACCCTTTGGCAGTTGGTCTGGGTGCTGGTTCAACCACAGGTTGTGGTGAAAACTCATTGAAGTCTGGTGACATAGGAGCAGCTGTTTGAGGCTGTGGTGGACTCTCAGCAAAAGGATCAAAGATCATATCTTGACCGGCCATCTCTTGAGGGAAAACCTCTGGCATATGAGAAGCGGTCTCTTGAGGGAGGACCTCTTGTGGCAGAGGGCCTGGCATTGTAGTGATGCTACCAAAGCTACCCAAGAGATCAAACTCATCTATATCTGATTGGCTTCTGCTACCCTAAAAAGAAGTGAGAAATTTGATAACATAAAAAACATGTAAAAGATTTCAAACTTCATTTTTCCTTGTTCCAAGAGAAGATCTGTGTAGAAAACTAAAAGCCATTAAAAATTACAACAAATTAATTTTCCTTACTAAGTGAATAAAGTGAAATCTCGATTTCTCAATTCAACTCAATTTTTTGATCCTCCAGATAACTCAAACTAAATGTTGTTCCCTCCCTTCAGCTCACACTGTAATTTTACCTCAATTCCCCAAACTGCCTGATTTTTCAAACCAATTTTTGTTTTCCCTGGGGAGCAGGGATGGCACAGTGGTGAGAGTGCTTGCTTTCCACCAATGCAGCCTGGGTTTGGTGCTGGCCTGGCACCATATGTGGGTTGAGTGTTTTGTTGGTTGTTGCCTTGCTCTGAGGGTTTTTCTCTGGTTTTCTCCCTCCACAATAACTACCTCTCCAAATTCCAATTCGACCAGGATAGAGAACCCACATGAAAACCAGCTAAGACTATAGCTTCCTCTCTAAATATATAATTGTAATTTTAAAGTTTACAAAAAAAAAAAAAAGATTTTCCACTGTACATACATGTAACTTGTAAAATTGGTGGTGCATCAAGATAATATTCTTTCTAGCACTGATGAGCATTTTTATTCTCATTACCTCTTAGCTTGACAATGTACAGATAATGTAAAGAGAAACAAGAAATTGATGGTTCTTAGTTTACCTCATTACTCCCATTACTGGATGGAGGTCCTTGTCTTGCAGCTATCTCAAGTTCAGCAATCTTTTGTTTCAATGCCTCCTTCTCTTCCTCTGCGGTTTTGATTTTTTCTTCCATCTCAGTTAGCTTTTTACTCGAATTTTGATTAACAGCTTTCTTCTCGAGAAAACGACGATAAGCAAGATCAAATGCCTGCCCTACAGTTAAAGTAAGTTCTTCTGCCTTCAATAAAACAACAGAAGAAAATTCAGTTACATTATATTAACCTTAACTTTATGCCTAGATTATTTTAAAATATTTTTCTTTTGCTCAAGAAACTTATATCTATATAAGGTGTTTTTTGTTGTAATAATTGTAAATAAAGCAATACAAATAAAAAATACACTGATAAAAAAAGTGAGTGGACCTTAATTTCATGTTCGTGCGGTATAAATAAATGACACCCTGTCTTTTAAACAGACTCTGCAATTCCTAAATGTTAAGTCCTGTATTTGCCATAAAATCAGCCAGTATTATTTAAGCAGCACATCTATTTATTGAACTCCCATGGGTGTTCACTTAATACAAGTCATTATGTGAACAATGGCTGAAGTTATACTAGGGATGATTTATCTGTCTGTGACCAATTCACCAAAGAAGACCAGTAATTCACCTGCCCGAGATGAATACATCATCCATTTGTAAATTCAGTTTATAGACATGGCTAGTTATGGTTTATGTAGCCAAATTTGTCTTTGCCTGATTTATCTGTCAGCATGTCGGCAAGATCCACTGACAGAGGAATCAGTTGAAGATGAATTTGGCTTCCTAATTCATTCAAACCCCGGTTTTTTTACCTACACGCATCATCAGTTTCAGATGAATAAATCATCTCAGATGGATAAATCATCTCTTAATATAAATTTGTATCAAATAATGTGTAGTTTCAGAAAATATCCATACCTTTCCAACAGAAGGGATTTTTTTTTGTAACACCTCCCCACCCCTCTGGAAATTCCAATTAAGCTTCATACATTTCTTTAAATGTTTTGGTCTTCCAGAAACCCCCACCCCCCAGGAAATTCCAATCCCTTCTGTGGGGGAGTATGGATATTTTCTGGAACTGCACAATTCATCTCTAGTATAAATTCAGCGAATATATAAAGGTGATTGTATGTTTGGGCCCGGCTCATGCCAGTTCATGCCAGCTCATGCCAGTTCATGCCAGCTCATGCCAGCTCATGCCAGCTCATGCCAGTATGTATGTACAGTCTCCTCACTCAAATCAGCTCCATGCACATGTACATGTGTGGTTTCCTTAAGGACTGCATCAGTGGGGCCATGTGTGCGTATTTTAATTTGATTAATTTGAAAGCCATGACCAGCATTATATCCAGCTAACCCAGTCACATTGATTTGAACAGAAATGTGTCCTCACCATTTTATCACATTCAAAAACATAGCAGCTATGATGTTGTGCTCCAGAATCCTTGGCAATGAAAGCAAACAGCTTCTTGTCACGCTTGTCATCAGCACAGTAGGATATACGATGTAAAGGATATGAATACAGCAGCTCCTAACAACATGTTACATGTAAAGTTAAAAGGATGCAAATATATTGGATATGTCCAAACAGCTGTATCCTACATTGAAAAGTCAACTTCAATTTTCAATGATATTTCAAATTTGAGTGACTGACAAACAGACAGACAGACAGATAGAGAAACAGACAGAAAGACAGACAGACAGACCTATATGCAGAAAAATAGACGGACAGACTAACTGTTAGATGGATGTATTTGCTGACTGACTGGATGACTGATTTTCAGTGATTGATAATTTCTACAAATCAAATCAAATCTGTTAAATCAGAAAAGCAAATGTACCTTCATTTTCGCATCTTCTACTTTTATGTTGTCAATGGAAATCTTAATTTCAACCTTCTTCAGTTTACTGCCTTTTACACCAGTCTCACTCTTTTTAATATGGTTAGCAAACTAAAAAGAGATTTATAGAATATAATTATCAACCGTGAATTATTAAAGCAATGAAATGATACTTGAGGAAGATATTTTACTATCTCTGAGTTCCTTTCTCCACCAAGGGCCCAGCAAAATAAGCACTGTTCACTTTTTATTCACACGCAAGTTATTAGGAATGATGCACTGGTCTGACAATAATATTATTATACCATCTGCCGCGCACTAGTACTTATCCCCCCCCCTCTCTGAGATCAATGAGATCTGACCAAACATTGACACTCTCTGATTGGCTAAGTTCTATTTAACAAGTTTGCTGATGACTATGGTAAGATGTGCTGTACTGTAAAATCATCAACATCCTTTTTCATTCATGGTTACTTTGGTCATAGGGTAAATAACAAATATGACAATAGCATAACAATGGCTTCACATGCAATTGCCTGGAAGCAAAAACTTTATCACTCCACCAATTTTATAAGTTATCCCGAGAATGTTCAGATGATTGCTGCAAACAATGCTGATCAAGTCAGTTTGATCATCACCCCTAGCCTTTGATCATTTTGATGTGGTTATACAAGTTCTGGTAAGACTGCCCACTCTCATGAAATATATCGATCAAAAATTACATGTACATCTGCAAAAAGGAAAGCATGATCAAGCTGATATGCAAGCATTTCTGGTCAAAGGTTAAGATTTTAAAAGGAAAGAATGAACTAAAACTTGAAATTTCCAGAGGGATTAGGGGAAAGGTTCAAAACCAAAAAAATACCCATGGTATGGGGAATGGATATGCTGCACACCACTTTACAGTTTAATTGTAGATCAAGAGGCACACTTGACTAATGATTATTACTGCTTTTGTTCACAAACAATGTTTTTTTTTTTTTCTGTATGCTATTTATAACCTGCTTTTGTACCCAATGTTGCTTCTTTGTAGGTTATACAGGTCAGTTCTTTGAAGCGACCAGTCTGTTTACTGTACATGTTCATACACACTGCAGCATGCTCCAAAACAACATGAGCAGGTACAATTTACCAGAGACTTAGGGTTCTGATTTGAAGAACACAGAAATATTAAAAGCTGATTGAAGCTCATGCAAGTCAAAAAGACATATTTGCTTTTTTTTGAGAATAACTGTATAATGTGTATAAGCCTTAATACATGTAATTCTTTACCTTGACTTTCTTTATGGCTTCTCTAACGATTTCTGTTCCTTTTGCTTGTGCTACATCTGTAAGACCTAGAAACTATTGACAGAGAACAAAAACAAAATAATGCAAATTGCTCTTCCTGCCAGACATGAAATCATAACCAACCGTAGGCTAATAATGCCTTCTTTTCAAAGAGAGTTTCTGATGCATAAAATTTTGTTACTTTAGAACTTATTAAGTAGCTACAATGTGTTTCTAGGACTAACTTGTGTTTTTGGAGCGATTTGTTGAAAACAAAGAAATATGACATAGTTGAATGAAAACCAATGTACACAATGGCTGCAATAATAAGCGAATGTCATTAACACATCGAGCAAAATACCATTTTATTTTCCCTTTGATATCGTAAAATTGTAAACGAATGATTCAAAACCAAAACTTTTCGTGGCTTTTACTCTTTCAAGCGGCGTATATCGCGAAAGGGATATACATCTTTTTACAGGGATAAATTTTCCAATTCATTTCGGTGCTAAATTGTTCGTGCCTTTTCACGAGCCAGAGGAACAATCAAGCGCCCATCAGGGATATTGTTTTCGAAGAAGTTCAAGTATAAATTCAAAGAATAGAAAGATCTAAATCTATTGTCACGCAGTGCAGTGTTAATGCAGCTGTTCGACATCTGAGATGACAAGTTATATATCACACTGTTTAGAAGTCGATACCAGGTTTAGTTCAGGTTTATTTTGACCCACAGGCGTGAGAATTAGGTGGGGGAGTGTTATTGGCCTGGGAGAAATACATGTCTGTACCGATAAGGAAGAACCGCGAAGCTATTTTATTTGAGGGCTTCAAATTATGTTTTTTACCAGAAAGAGTTCCTTTCACCACGGCAACTGACTAGTAGCAATTTTTACTACATTACGTTCTTAATGGAAATTTGACCTACTAAATAAATGAGCTTCAAGTTAGGGCTCCGATGACATCGTGCGGTTAACCCAAATGGCAGTTCGGTTTTAGCCTTAGTAGTAGCTGCACTAACTCCCCAGGTCGCCTGACTAGCGCTCCAGTAACCGGAAAATCAAACTCCTTGGCATAAATACAAAGTGCTGACTCGAGAATGGTTAGTTATTCAATAACGCACTGCAATTCCTGTGTTTACTTGCCCGTGATCGATCGATCGAAGCCTCGTGGTTCACAAGAGCGTAATAAATATTTTGAGCACCAACAGATTATTCGAGATAGCTATGTCAGATAGCTCGACGGTATTTAAGCTTACAAGTAAATGCACGGAATTTCTTAGATTCACAGAGAAATATCTCTACAAAATAGCTTTGCTGAGTTAGATATTAAATTCTTAATCCTCGCGAAAAACAAACGTAATAACCGACTTTGGGTGATACATCGTTCGGTGATCGCACAGACCGTACCTTGACAGAGTAAACAACAGAACCCTGCTGTAAAGATTCAGCTGGATGAAGCCATGTCTTTCCACTTCCACTCGCTGATAAAGGAAATTAAATATTAGTCTAAGCGTCTGAGTGATGTTCAATGAAAGCTGCACACCACAAAATTGTGCGATAAGCCGAGAAGAAGGAACATCACACGAGCTCGACATACCTTGGAACTGGGGTTTGCCACCTTTCTTTGAGCCCCATTTTAAAACAGAAGTCATCCTAGTCTCTTTCTTTTAAGGGACCAAGGCCGTAAAGTTCTCCTCAGACAAATATAAAAGGACCAAAAAACAGCAATTTGATATTCTGGACAAAACGACTTCTCACTTTAGCTTGTCAATCTCACAGTCAATATTATTTCTGCTGCTCTGCTCCAATCTGCCCCCTCACCGAGGACATCAGCGGTGGTACACAAAACAACAATATGGGAGTGTAAGCGTCATCAGAGCGTTCCTATTTCCTCCCAGACACAGGAAGTCTGCAAGGTCAAACTGCTTCCTCCTTTTTTTCAATTTCCTGTTTACCTGAATTCCGAGAGTCTACAGGACCAGCGTGATCCTGTTTCAAATACCGAGTTTTACATTTCCTTCTTGACCAAATTCGCAGAGTACGTAGGCGTCTGCGTAGGATCAGGATGGTTCTCTTTTAGACTCTTTTTTAAACTGACTTTGATTTCCACAAGCTAAAGTAGGCTAGTTCTCACAACTTTGGATTCGACAGTCTCTTGGAATCCACTCAACCTAAGCTACAAACGTCCCAGCCCAGCTGCTAATTTTAAGAATTGGATGATGAGGGTAAAGAATAGCCCGTGGGCAGTTGGTGTATTAAACATGTTAAATATTTCCTTTGTGTAAAGAAATAAGTACGCAGACTATCTTTGCGTAGAGGGCTATTCGATAAAACTATTAAAATCCCCACGGAGCTGAACTGAGAATGCGATTGCATTGCCTCTTTCCGGGTAATGCGATTACACCGCCTACAGTTTCATTCGAGCATCAGCTCCTGAATTCTAAAGCTACCAGCGCCAACACAACTGAATTATTTTTTGGTTTCCCTTTCGATCGTGCTATAAATACACCTTGTTCGATGGTTTAGCATATAATACGCACCGGTATTTTGCGAGCTGCGTAGTATTTCCAGGCGAGGAGTAATACGAGCAATGAGGTGTCTGCGCGTAAGAATATTTCCATCATTGTGTCATGTTTCTAGTATTTCGACTTCTAGTTTTTAAAGCACATCCGGAGTCCGAATATCGTCCCGATCGCATAAAGCGCGTGTAAAATGAGTCTCAAATGATGAAAACAAAATATGACCCTACGGTGCAGAATGGTTCATATTTTGCGCTTCCTCTTGACCAAATATGGTAGAATGGCGTAAATAGTGAAATAAAAAATATTGAATAATTAGCGACACAATAAAACGCATGGAGAGTTGCTTATATAAATAAACTTTACGCCAAGACAATTTCTCCTTAGTGATCAATTCCTATAGTCTCATCACTGCATGTTTGAATTCAATTTACGTTGAGATTTTGAGGAGAAACTGAAAACTACCCAGACTGTTTTTTTTTTTATCTTGAAGACCTATCACGTTGTTATTTCTTGTCTGTCTTGGCAGTTTTCCAGCCTTTAGTCTTTTTTTTTTTTTTTTTTTTTTCCCAAAATGAGAAAAACCGCATTGCGCCTTAATATAGTTTTTCAATTAACTAGCGATGTTAGTTCTTCTGTTTTTTTTTTTTAAAAACCCTCAATATCTGTATGTGTTAACCTACCGATGAAGGATATGTAGCTAACACTGCTCAAAAATATATGATCTGCTTAGCGCTGCGCTTTTTATAACACTCAAATATTTATATGTTACCAGGAAGTAACGATCTGATTAATATTGATCGCAACGACAAGTTAAGTCTGCGTTGGGCCACGTGGTCCATACAGCCGAAGCTTATCCCGGTTCCTGCAGCACTAAGCAACTAGGAATATTTATACTGAGAGTATTTCAGTCATGGTATTTTAAGTTATTTTGGCCTCGTGCAAAATTACCTTTAAATTGCAGGAAACCTGAAAATAATAGTTTACTAAGATAGAAAAACACCTAAGAGACAATGATAAACCATAAAGGAACAAGAATGATTAAGGATAGAGAAGATGTTGAAAAAAAAAACTGAAACCTTTTTTCAGCATTATCATATAGGGTGGCGAGAGGTATTGTGAGAGCAAAATGTCTTGCCCCAATAACATAACGCAATGTAACGCAAATAACCCCAGCCAGAGCGGCCGGCCAGAGCTCAAAACCCAGACCCCTCCACAACAACAAACAACCAGGAGTATAATAAAGCTGAATCTAACTGTAAATTTGAGACATACTGTGTTTCTTACATAGATTCGAATCTGAAACGCATGCAGTCCTCTCAGTGTAAGTTCTAATAGATTATTTGGGACAACAGGACGTAAATTTTGCAAATCTTGCCATGCATTAATTTAGAAATGTTTCATTGTAATTCTTTTGATTTTTGATTTGCTAATTGAAATCTAGGGACTAGGTACATTGCCATGATAGTAAGTCCCGAGTTCTCCGTCCCTTCCCGTTGGAGAGGTCCTTCATTTGTCTATTTTAAACAATTGTGATTCCTTTTTTTTTTCGGTTTTACGGTTTTTGGTCATTTTCTAGATCGATTTTTCGGTTTTTGAACTAAAAATGTCCAGTTTTTCGGTTTGCTGTCTGTTGCGGTTTTCGTTTATTCCCTTTTCAGCATTCGGTTTTCGGGTTTGGTTCTTCGATGATATAATATTTGCTTGGCTAGTCCCTAGGCTTCTTTATCTTACCTCGGTCAATCCGTGAACGAGAGGCCACCTCTTGATAATAGGCCATTTCCGAGTGTACCTTGTGCCTCTGTTTCAAAACGAGGCCTCGTGCAAAACCTTTCTTATGAAAATAAGTTTGATTTTCGTGAAAATGAACCTGTAGGCGGGACACATTTTCATATGAATGGTTTCGCAATAAGACTCGTTTTGACACAGAGGCAACAGGCAACTCAGAAATGGTCCAATAGGCCACGTTCGATGTATCAATATTCTAACATCGATCCGAGGCTTTCGGGACAAAATTGCAAATTTTTTAAGTTTCCTTTGTCTTTCGATTCCCAAAAGAGACTTGGATACAAAGAAAACACCACCAAACACAGAAGTTTGTCCTAAAAGCCTCGGAGCCATGTTAAAATGTTGATATATCGAACGTGGCCTATTGAACAAGACGACTTACAGGCAAGTCACCTATGTTATGAATATTGCAATCAATTAGGTCTACATTAACGAGAACATCTTTAACTCTCGAGCTCAGATTTTCCATGCTCTACTTCCGATGCTATCTTCAGTGCAAATCCTCAACTCCTTCTTGAGTGGTGATGCAAATGTTTTGCTTACGAAGAAAAAATAAAATGGTTAACACTCACTGCGTTTCGAGAACTTTCGGCCCTTTCCTGGAGGACACGATTCTCTGATTGGATAATGATGCAGAAGCTTATTTTAAAATAATTTGCGATAAACTTGGGAAGTTCCGTAAGCTTATATCAACTGTTTGGGAATTTTGATATAATTTTTGGGTTACACTTAAGCATATTTAAGGCAAGCTTTTGCTAAGAAACTATTTGCATCCGAAATCGCGAGCAAAGTGTTTTTCAGCTGTGAGATCGGACAGGAAAGCAATTTTCTCTTGACGAACATTTGGTCAGAGCTCATATTTGCTCACGCGTTAAAGCCGAAATGTGCATAGAGTAACCAGTTTCACAAGCGCTATTCTCCCATTTCTTCAATTCCAAACGGAAAACTTTTTCAACAGAAACTTGAGTTATGCCATAAACTTTCAATGTACTGATTTTTATTCTTCCATCGGAATTCAGCTCTAGAGTTTTTTTACTGTTTTGCGCGAACAAACAAATCCTACTTAACTTAATATCTTTAAGTTTAGCTTTCCGATGTACAGTTGTGAACAAGATTTCAGTGTGCCTGAACAATTGTCAACATGGTCAATTCGTTTATGACATAACTAGCGGTTCTGAAATTAAGTAACTTTCCATCTGTCCGCGTAACCATCAAACAAAAAACAATTCCAAAACATAAGGAATTCATAGAGTATTTGCCTTGAAATTGTTTTCGATCATGCATTCCTGCCGAAACAAAGGAGACAAAGAAAAAAATGCTCAGTACCATGATCAAAAGTGGTGCAACTATGTATGAGGGGTAATTACCGCCAAAATTAAGTTTGGTTTAAATTGGTTTTCAGAAGATAAATAGTTTTTCTGGTTTGTCGCTACGGATTCCTGACCAAAAGTCATTTTAGAGATGAGGTATAGAGTCACTTGAGAAGTTTTATCGAATGCCATGGGCTCATAGATGTTCTCATGGCATACTTAATGTTCTTCAATTAATGTTGTAAAATGAGTTGCCTTATTATCACCTTATTCAATGCAAACCATTAGCATTTGTATTCTGTTGGGGCCAACTATGGCTAAACTTTTAATTGGCCGTTTTCAACTCAAAAATGTATGATGATTTCATAACAGTTTTTCATTGGCACTCCTGAAACTCAGTTAGAAAGCAAAACAAAGCGTTACAACGGTTTTCTACAAGACAGTTCCAACCAATCCGGACTTCATATTACCTTCACAGAGAGTGTTTAATAATACAACTCATTATTTGGTACCAATTTATGTCTTTAGGATTGCCAATACGCAAACAGCTGAAACAGTTACTTGAAAGTCAAGGACGTTACAGACTGTAGTAGCTTGTTACATTAAAGTACTTACTGTTGATACGTTACAAATATACTGTGAAAACACTCCTATGGACTGCAAACTTAACAATTGGTATTTAAGGAGTAAACTCACTTTTCGCATCTCTAAACTGGCTGGGATAATACATTCACTGACACCTTTACGTATAATACGAGCTGTTAGAGATAAAAGGGAGTGAAATTAAAAAAAAAAAATGGCGAATACTGATTGAGTCGGCGACCTATAGAAACACACAGAACTTTTGTATAACTCACTATCATTTATTCTTTATCTCTATTTAGACAGAAACAAAAATTCGAAGTTCGAAGTTCGAAGACCCCGAGACGGAATCGGGGGATTAATAATGGTTTTTTTTNTTTCAGAAGATAAATAGTTTTTCTGGTTTGTCGCTACGAATTCCTGACCAAAAGTCATTTTAGAGATGAGGTATAGAGTCACTTGAGAAGTTTTATCGAATGCCATGGGCTCTAGATGTGCTCATGGCATACTTAATGTTCTTCAATTAATGTTGTAAAATTAGTTGCCTTATTATCACCTTATTCAATGCAAACCATTAGCATTTGTATTCAGTTGGGGCCAATTATGCCAGGTTGCTGTTTAACTATGGCTAAACTTTTAATTGGCCGTTTTCAACTCAAAAATGTATGATGATTTCATAACAATCTTTTTCATTGGCACTCTGAAACTCAGTTAGAAGGCAAAACAAAGTGTTACAACGGTTTTCTACAAGACCGCTTCAACCAATCCGGACTTCAGTCATATTACCTTTACAGAGAGTGTTTAATAATACAGCTTATTATTTGGTACCAATTTATGTCTTTAGGATTGCCAATACGCAAACAGCTGAAACAGTTACTTGAAAGTCAAGGACGTTACAGACTGTAGTAGCTTGTTACATTAAAGTACTTACTGTTGATACGTTACAAATATACTGTGAAAACACTCCTATGGACTGCAAACTTAACAATTGGTATTTAAGGAGTAAACTCACTTTTCGCATCTCTAAACTGGCTGGGATAATACATTCACTGACACCTTTACGTATAATACGAGCTGTTAGAGATAAAAGGGAGTGAAATTAAAAAAAAAAAATGGCGAATACTGATTGAGTCGGCGACCTATAGAAACACACAGAACTTTTGTATAACTCACTATCATTTATTCTTTATCTCTATTTAGACAGAAACAAAAATTCGAAGTTCGAAGTTCGAAGACCCCGAGACGGAATCGGGGGATTAATAATGGTTTTTTTT